TCCTATTTTTTCTATCCTTCTTCCACCCATCAACAACCTTATTTGCAATCAATATCCCATCCAGATATTTCTTCCCCCTACAAAAGCAGACTGCGTATCACTGATTATTCTAGGCATGTCTTTCTTCATTCTATTGGAAAGTACCTTAGCAAGGATCTTATACAAGGAACCAATAAGGCAGATGGGCCTATATTCTACAAGGCTAGATAGATTTTCATTTTTTGGGATCAAAGCTATACAAGAGCTATTAATACCCTGAACCAACTTCCCATTCTGGTGAAATTCATTCATAAATTGAAGAACATCTCCCTTAATAATATTTCAACATTTCTAAAACATGTTAAGATTAAACCCATCTGGGCCAGGAGCCTTATTACTCTCATAATTCCTAATTGTTGCCTTCACTTTAGATTCTGAAAAAGGTGATTCCAACAATTCTGCACTTTGATATTCTCCAATGGTTTTAAAATGACCTAATAACCCTAGTCTGCTACACCAAGAGTCTGAAAAGAGAGTGAAGAAATGATTTTGTACAGCAGCCCTAACAACTTGAGGATCCTCTACAACAAAGCCATGGATCAAAATAGAGCATAAGGCATTCATGGTCCTTCTACTAAATGTCATAATGTGGAAAAATTTCGTATTTATATCACCTTTAATTGCCCAATTTAGCCTTGATTTCTGAAGCCATACCCACTCCACCATTTTGTTCAGTTTCCATGCTTTCCCTTTTGCCTCCCTTCTTCTAGCAGCCTGTGATGATGATGATAATGACCCTTCTTTAGCCAGTAAATCTAAAGCATGAACTTCTTCTTCAACTTGTTTCAGTTTGAATTCAATATTACCAAAGACTTCGTTGTTCCACTGCTTTAATGTAGCTTTCAAAGCTTTCAATTTTTTCAAACACTTAAACCCAGCCCAACCATCTATCATTGTTTCTGACCAGCATTGTTATACCACCTTCATGAAACTTGGATGAAGAAGCCAAGCATTAATAAATTTAAAGGGTCTAGGGCCCCAGTCCCTCTCATCTTCCATCAATAGAATAGGACTATGATCTGAAAACGTTCTAGGAAGCCCCCACAATTTGAAGTTAAAATTACACAACCAGTCTGGGTTTAGGAGAAATCTATCTAATCTACTCCACCTTTCCCCTTCTTGAGAATTACCCCAGGTGAAATTCTTTCCAAACATTGGTAATTCAGTTAGCTCTAATAAAAAAAAAAAGCTTTATTGATGAGAAAACATACAGAGTATAATAACGTACATCAATAAAAAGGAGCGTGCAAAAAGCATCATAGTGAAGCATTCAGATCCCAACTAGGTTGGCGCCTAAAAGCACACCAAATCATCTACTAGTACAAACTCCGAGCTCGAAGTTGGTGAGTAACCAACATGCAGAGCAAAACAAAAAACAAAACAGATCAAACACTCAGGGACAGAGCAGAACAGATCAGATGTGGCCTTGGTAGTAGAACATCAAGACAGAAGCAGCAGAAGTAGATCAGCTATACACAGATTCTAACAGATTCAGCCAGAAGTATAATTAACAGATTCTACCCATACAGGAAGCCTAGCAGGAAGCTCAACTGGTAGCCCAACCCTGAAACTTGCAGCCAGATTCTAGGCCAACAGATTCAATCACACAGAAGACTAGACTAATAGCCTAGCAGCAAGCTCACCTTAGCATGCTAGCAGCCCATACCCAAAACTCCAGTAGATTGGATCGGATGACACACAGGAATTGACTTGCAGCCAGCTTCATTTGAGTGTCATCTAGAACTGCAGAGAAGATGCAACAGAGCTCAACACTTGAAGCTAAACAGCTCCAACAGACTACATTCATCCACCAGCTGAATCAATTACAAGCATAGAACACTAATAATATAACAAACTCCTCTGCCTACCAGCTGAACATATCAGGACATCACTACAAACCCAGAGATCAAATAACAAACCAGAGCCCAAAACAAACTAGCATAAACCAACACAGACCATCTCATAATAGTTAAGAACATCCTCTGATTTGATGCCAATTGAAAGTTAAATCATCAACTGAATAGGGAAGGTCTTTAATAGATGTTTTCAGCCAAAGTGCTGCTCTGATTTTGATATTTTCACTCAAGCCAGAGAGATTAGGTTGAGCATCTGCAAAAACACATTCATTCCTAAGTTTCCAAAGCGACCAAAAAACAATAAGGGGGATGGCTCTTCAAATTAACCTATCAATATTCTTAAAATTGACAGTCATCCACCATTGGAGGAGATCATCCACTGAACCTTGAATGGACCAAGAGAACCCTCACTCATTAATTATAGACGACCAAATCAACCAAGAAAATGGGCAATAAAGCAAGATGTGTACAGTAGATTCAGGTTCAGAACGACAGAATGGGCAGATGAAGGAAGCAGAAGCATCTAAAATTCCAATTCTGTGCATAAAAACTGCTGTCTTGATTTTGTTTTTCCAGGCCAGCCAACTAAAGAATGAAACCTTAGGGGGGACAGCCCCATTCCAAATATGGGGCTGTTATTTCAGTAAAATCTCTCATTCCTCTATCTATTCTAGAGCACCCTTTTCTTTCTGATATTCTTTTGATCTCATTGAAATCTCCCTTCCCCCCCCCCACACCAAGGGTTAGGATATAATACTTTAATATTTAACAGGATATCCCACACCTCCTTCATTTTCCTTACATCATTAGGACCATAGGCATTCACCACTACACACTCAAAACTATGATAAAGAGTACTTGATAAGAGAATGAAATTTTTATTGCAACAACAATCTTTGAGTTGAAACACTTTTGGGTTCTAAACACAAAGTAAGCCTCTAGCAGCTCCTTCTGAATCCACTGCCATAAAATCCATCTTGTCTCCTGGCCAAATTAACCCAGCTAATTTTTCATTACTGACAGCTTTTTTAGTCTTTTGCAGTAGCACCATATCAACTTTATTGTCAAAGAGCACCTTCTTGATCCTTCTCCTTTTAATTGACTTCCCCAAGCCCCTAACATTCCAAGATAATAGCTTCATTTCAAACTTACCATAACTCCTTATACCTCATAGGGATGCTATTCAATTAGCATTACCCTCCCTCACCTTAAGCTTTTCAATATCTCTCTCTTCCATCTCCATTAGTTTACTTGTGATCTCCTCTTCCTTTCCATTGCAGTCCAACCCGATGACCCTACTAAGTTGCAGGGTTGTTTCAGCTTCATTAAGTTTACTTATCATCTTCTCATCTTTTCCATTTAGGATCACTCTGCATTGCTATGATGCGGTTTTGCATTCAAATTTGCTTTTCTTCATTGTTTTAACATCAAAAACAATAAAATAAAAAATTACCACCTATGTCTAGAAGTTAACCACCACACTCTTGACTTCGCTTTTGAGGCTAAACCTTTAAGAGGTTAGGCTTAGTTGGTTTAAAACATTTTTCTTCCAATTATTTGATAATTAATTTTTTTTTTAATTTATTTAAATTATTTGTATTAGATAAACTATAAAAAGGAGTTGCACCAACATTTTGATCGAGACTTTCAAAATAAATAAAAATAATAATTAAACATCTCTATAAAATGCACTAAACAAGGCCTATATGCCAAAATTAGAATTTTAAATTCCCATTTTAACCTCAAAGCACTCCTTTTAAAACAATGCTTCTACATGGTCCTCCTCTCTCACATCCATGGAAGAAGCTTGAATTTCATGCATGATGAAGGCGCGTGGGCCTGAAACATTACCCCAAAACTGAAGGTAAACTTTGTAGAGAGTGAGTTTAGAGAGTGAGTGAGAAAGTGGTTTATTTGGGTCTCAGAGAGAGAGAGAGAGAGTTCAGGAGAGAGATAGAGAGGGAGGGTTTGAGGCATTTCCTAAAACAAAAATGAAAAAAAGAACAAAGAACAAAGAAAAAAGTGTAATTGTCATATTTCCACTTTGTTGTTAATGAACGACCAACTAAAATCTTTCTCTCTCCTACTTACATAATAAGGTGAAGGAATTTCAAGTATCCTTTTTATTCTCCCTCCAAATCCATTTTAGTGTATATATACATACATACACTTGAATTGTGAGAGAAAAACTTAAGAGGAGAGACAGAAAGTGAGTAAGCTGTTAGAGACACTACACAACTTAATTTAAAAGTATTGTACGCTATGATTTAACCCAACAATTAGTCTAATAAATTTGTTCATCTAAATTTCAATTCATAACTCTAATCAAGAAGACATACACAAATAAGGTCTCATGAGTCATTTTATAAATATATTATGTACATAATCTCCATAGGCACGACTCCGACTCTGATACCACCCGTATCCTAACTCCAATTTGAAATCAGGGTTTAGATATTGATTGTTACTTATTGTATCAGTTATTAGGTAATTGAATTTTAAATTTTTGATACCGTTATTCAATGATATATTGACCGATATTGTCCAATATTGAACAATGACTGATTGTATTACAAATACCAATATATATATATATATATATATCTTGATCCCATTATTTAAAGCTATGCTTGAAATAATTATTATCTATTTTGGACCAAATTACTTTTTATGGACTAAATATTTTAATTGTCATAAGTCTCACTATTATATTTTTAGGAATGAAATTAAACATTTACTAATGAATTATTATTCTTATGAAATAAATTTTTTTTGACTCAAAACTTTTTAGTATGAAATTGTTTTGTTTTTAAAAATACATTTACTAGCTATACTTTTAAAATTGTCACTAAATGTTCTTTTTTTTTTTACTTGTGAGGATGATTTTTTTTTTTTGGTTTGGCACACAAAATTAGTCTATTAATATTTTCGTAACAAATTTTGTTAGATATTGAAGACGAAAAAATTTAATTTTTAAAATTCTTATGTGTTATAATGCAAGTTTTGTTTTGTTTTGTTTTTGTTTTTTTTTTTTTTTCAAGTCTACCCCCAAAACAAGGGTTTTGCAACAACTTATAAGTTTAGCCTAAAGATAATCGGAAACCAATATACTACGGCAACATAAGGAACAAAATAATTCAAGACAAGACATTTATACACACAGACACACATGTATCAGTGCTTTCTTAACTGCTCATCATATTGTGCTCCTATTTAGAGAGAGAGAGAGAGAGAGAGAGAGAGAGGGTGTTTTTTCAGAGAGAGAGAGAGAGAATGGGTAGAGGAAGAGTAGAACTAAAGAGGATAGAGAACAAGATCAATCGTCAAGTGACTTTCTCAAAGAGAAGGAATGGTTTGCTTAAGAAAGCTTATGAGCTCTCTGTCCTCTGCGACGCTGAAGTGGCTCTCATCATCTTCTCCAGCCGCGGCAAGCTCTATGAGTTCGGCAGCGCTGGGTATCTCTCTCTCTCTCTCTCTCCCCTCTCTCTCTCTCTCTATATATATGTATATGTATATATCATATATGGATCTCATTTGGATCACCTGAACTTTGTTCAGTAATGTTTGTTTTTCATCACAGACTGTCCTCTCTCTAGTTGGGTTTTCTAGGTTTTTGTTTCTGATGATGATTCTGATGCTTCTACGGCTTCATGGTTTCTAGATTGATGTTCTGTGAAATGGGTTTTCCATTGAGAGATCGACACGTTTCACTCTTCTCTGAAAATCTCATCATAAAGATCAGAGAATGACTGACGAGGTTGTTCTACCCCAAAACTTCACTCCCTCCTCCTCTTGGACCTTTATGCAAGATCTAGGGTTCCCTTTTTTATTTTCCTTCTGTCTCTCTCTCTCTCTCTCTCGAAATGTGTTATAGGTAGTTAGTTAACATAGAGAGAAGCACTTGAAAGTCCAAAGGGTTTCAATGCTTGAAATTTTGTCTTCATCTCTTTCAATCCTTAGATCTTGGGGTTTCTTCACTGATTTGGTTCCTTTTTCTCTCTCCAAAATTCACCATCAATCATAACCTTTCCTTGCATATCTCTATTTTTCAAAAAAAAAAGAAAATTATTGAACTTGTAAATTTTATTTTCTTTTTTTAAATGTTGATTGGAAGTGTTAAAATTTATTATTGTTTATAAGGATTTGATGAGGTAATTAATTGAAAAGAAAAGTTTTCTACTAGTAATTAAAAAAAAAATTAATTTTTTTTTATTAGTAATAAAGAGTTCTTTTCCTTTTAGAAATGTTTATTCGGTTTTTTTCCTCATTAAACCAAGAATAAGAAACTTTTTCTCATTTGATTTTCCTTTGCTTCTCTTTTCTTTTTCCCATGTCTTCTTCTTTCTCTTCTTTCTTTCTTTATTTTCTTTATTTTGTTTTATTTTCTCATGTTTCAAACACAATAGAAAAGAGGGGTTAGGTTATATATTGGTACCACTACCAATGTAAGCTAAAAATTGCAATATGTCAGGCATATATATATGTTATTGAAAACTTAGCATATATTGGTGTAAAAGAATGGTCATTGAAGCAAGAAAAATTTATGCTTCAAGACTCTCAGTCAAGCTATTTGGGTTTCTTTCTGGTAATCAATCTCTCTCTCTCTCTCTCTCCCTCTCTCCCTCGCTCTCTTTGTGTGATCTTGAAAAAATTTCTTTTCCTTTTGTTCTTTTACTGTATCATCATAAATCATGTCTTTCTTGGTGCAATTTGCAGTATAAAATTTAAATTTATTGCTTCTATATGATTATAATATATATTGATCCAGTACTTTGGAGGGGGGTTAGAAATAGGACTTTCTTCTTTTACCAAAAAGATAAAGAAAGCAAGGATGTGCAGATGGTGGCTATTGTTGCATGAAGATGGAAGTTTCACAGATATACTCAAAACTCAAGATGTTTGAGGATCTATTGAAGAAAAAGATCAATATAAAAATATCAAATATTTATTTATTTATTTATCTAAAAACACCAACTGTAGGAGTTTCCAAAAATCTTTTATCTGTGCATTTATTCTTATCTGGGAATTTGGATATATGAAGAAAGAGGATCAGTAGTTTAAATGTTTGTTCATAGAGGTCTCTATCTTTGCATGCAAGAGAGGAAAATTTAATAGATACAACAAAATCTTTTATTTATTTATTTATTTATTTATTTTTCAATTTTGCTTTTGGTTGTTATTTTTTTAATTTTTTTATTGGGGTAAATTATTTATTAATTCGGGTAAAAAGAGTACATCTAGATAACTTTAGTTGTTATTGTTATTACTGCTCTTTGGTTTGTGGAGGTGATCAAGTTTCTTATTTTTAATTTTTAATTTTGCTTTTGGTAGCTATTCCTTCGACTATTCTTGGATATGTGGAGGCGGTCAAGGCTTTTTTTTTTTTTTTTTTGTCTGAAAACAAAACTATTTAAATCTTAAATACTCTTCCCCAAATTATTATTCTTATAAAAAATTTCATTGAGCAATGCTATAAATTTATAAATATTATCTAAAAATTTATCCAAAAATATCATTATGTGTCTCAGATCTATCTAAATCATAGAATAAATTTTTTTTTTTTTAAAAAAAATTCTATCTAAATCATGAATCTCATAAAATAATAATTCAATCTAAGCCATATATTGACAAATTTCATAACAAATTTCCCAATATTTAGCTTTTGTGTTTTATGTTATATATATACTGGCATATTACCCATACTATGCACCGGTATAAATAAATAATCAAAATTTATTTTTTAAAATTAAATACTAATATAAAATTTATCTACAATATGTAATAAAAATTATTTATAATCAATTAAATACATGTCATAATTTAATTAATGAAAATTAAATAATAAATTACAAAAGTTATATTTATGATAAAACATAAATATATTTTGTTTTATAAGTTTTGTAATTTTAGTTTACCATATGATAGTAGTAAATTATATTTTTTAATATACTAATTTTTTTATTATTTTGTAAAGCTTAAAAATTTGTCTACTCGAAATTGTAAATTATCTTGTGTCATGACTCTTATGTGAAAATATATTACGATTGGCTTGTGGTGTTGACTAAACATTAAAAGTGACTTCAAAGCTAATTGACTTAATATTTATGCCAATGTGACCTTCACCTACTCATTAAAAATTGTCTTGATTAGTTAAATTATCTTTATCAGTTTGTAATTGGTATAAGCGTTGGGAGTTCCAATATTGGATTAAATATTAAAAATGAATCTAGAAAATCTAGTTTGAATGGATTTTTTCCCCCAACAATATTTTTTGAGTGTGATTTATCAATTATTATTTTTTTAATTAGAAAACTCTCTGTTTGTTTGATTGTAAGGAATGAATGATTTTAGGGAATGATTCTAGGAATGAAAAATGCATTCTTTATTTAAAAAAGAAAATATTTGAGTGTGTGATTTATTTATAATTTTTTTAAATTAAAAAATTAAAAAATTTAAATTGAATACTTAGAACTCTAAAACTCTTTTTAATTATGAATTCGTTTCGGATGAAGATTTGAGTTACAATAGTCATATAAAATAAAATAGGTTATTTTAGCTAAATAGAATAAAATATCACATTCAACGCATAATCATTTCATTTTTTCTCTCATAAAAGTAAAAAAAAATCAAAAAACTTATCTCAAACGAGACTTTTTAGTCTCAGACCTTGTTTAGCAAGTGACTTTTTTAGTCAAAAAGTTAAAAAGTCACTAAAAAATAAAAAAGCTAACAATCTATACCAAAAAGTCAAGGATTTTATTTTCTCTTTACTTTTTGCACATCTTTTCGTAAAAAGCCAAAAAAGTCATTTCAAACATATTAATTTTTTTTACATCATATTTTAATCAAAAAATTAAAAAATTACTAAAAATACATGTTCCCAAACGAGACCTAAAATAACTAAAAGTTCAAAAAATAAAAAAAAATCAACTCACATCCCAAAACTCTATATAATGGCCCCGTTTGATGTAGCTGTTAAAACAGCTTATAGATTATAGCTTAACAAATTATAGATTACGACTTTAATCCGAAATTGTTAATCTGTTTGGTGTACCTATTGGATTATAGATTTAAGTTGTTGAGTAGTGTTTGTTAAATAAGCTGTGAAATAGTTTTTTCAATTAATTTTTATTTTTTGTTTGTCTACATTTCTCATTAAAAAAAAATAATCTATAGTCCATTTGGGTCTTTTTCTATTTTTAAAAAAATAAAAAATAAAAAAATCTAAGAATATAACCATAAATTAACATGTCCACAGCAGAAGCTGATAATCAGAAACAACGGGTGAGCAGCTTGCCAGAATCAACTTTTTTGAGTTAAAATAAACTGTTAGAATCAGAAGCTGTTTAAAATAAGTTTAACCAAACAGTTTAAAATAACTTTTTTAAAACTAAAAGTCATAAGTTAACTTTAAAAAACTAAAACAAACACCCCAATATATAAATCACTACTGATGCTCTCTTTAACTTCAACCATTTGCCCTTTGGTTTTTAGGATGCCCTCTAGTAGCTAGAAGCAAAGTATTTTCATGTTTTTTGAAATTTAATTCTATAATAATTTTATAATGATTAGACATCTTTTAAGTACGTTTCTCACTAGATAGAGATGGGATTGTTTAATAGTTGCTGAAATTGAGCAGTTACGGGTATGTTGATCCCAATGCAATAATGATTAGTCATTTTAGAACCATGTCTTAGAGTTACAAAATAATCTTAACAATCGTGTTAGGGCACTATATGAATATGTGTTCGTTTGGTAATGTTTTTTTTTAAAATTTATTTTTTGGTTTTTTTTTAATTTTTTTAGTTTGAGATTTTTTTTGTTTGGTTGGTTTTTTTGTTTGAATTTTTGGACTTTTTAACTTTGGAATGATAAATTTTTTTGTTGATTTTTTAATTTTTTGATTCTTTTTTTTATTCATATGCGATTATTTAGCCCCAAATCCATTGTCAAACCAGGACTGTATCACAATACAAATTTTAAGAGATTTGACTTGGGGAAAATTATACAATTTTAAAAGGTTTGGCTTAGGATTTGGCACATATATATTTGGTTTTACCACACAAGAATTTGCCGATCGAATCTTATAAAGGCTAAACATTCAAAATCTTAGAGTCATAAGTCGAAGTGTGTATAAATTAATTCGGACAACCGGTTATCAGATGTATATATATGGGTTTGACTTCTCTCATGTTAGGGATTCAACTTGAGAGAGCATTTAAGCTTAATAGGCTCATTGTAAGCCCAATCTCAGTAATTCAAACCTTTCACTTTTTAGATCTTATTGAGAAGAATATTCATATAAAAAATTAATATGATTGAATTTCGGTAGTTATATATTTGAATCACATTTGTCTTTAAAAAACTGACAGTTATTCTTGAAATTATATTTGTCGTCAATTTTTTTAAGATAACTGTAATTCAAATCCAATCATCTTATTTTTTATATGCATAT